CTATACAAAAACACAAATTATGTTAAATCATATATCATCTCCAAAACAATTCAATGTCCATACCATACATAATAGCAAAATTTCAGTAATAACACTCAGTAAGTATGTTATTCTTGTTTACTATGTTAATAAGTCAGTAGCTTATTCTTTTAAATAGAGTGCTCTGGCTCAATCTCTTCCTGATTGCACGAAGGAAAAATCGAAACAGCACTTAGAATTGTAAGGTCTGATTAGAAACTGGAAATTTAATATGAACAAAACCAAGCAGAATATTGCATTTAAAATAATAAATGTATCCTTTTAAATAGAGTGCTCTGGCTCAATCCCTTTCTAATTGCACGAAGGAAAAATCTGAACAACACTTAGAATTGTAAGGTCAGATTACAAACTGGAAATTTAATATGAACAAAACCAAACATAAAATACAACATATAGACAACAATAACACGAAATTATGGTAAAAATCTTCAAAAATGCAGCAATGTTTGAGAAACAAAATCGCACACTGTAATCAACAAAAAAAAAGAGAATCAGAAAAAAAAATCGCAAATTTGGGACTTACATCTTCTTCTTCCATCTAATAAAACTTGAAATTAGAGCTTTGGATTCGTGGGAGTTGAATTGCGAGCGACGGATGAGGGAATCTGGGGTTCTACCGAAGAGAATTTGAATGAGGCAAGAATTTGGTTTTGCCTGTTGGTTTTCAGTTTTTAGGGCTTTCATATGGACCGGACGAGTTAATTGATTTTGGGCCAACGGTTTAATGAAAACCCAGCAGTTTGGTTGGGTTTTTCCGAGTTGCCTGTTGAGTTGAAAAATCAGGGAACTCAGACCGGACCATGGTCCGGTTCGACGGGTTCCGGGTTGAACCGGCCGGTCCGGGTTTAATAACTATGGTTTACATAGACATGATGTGATGAGTTATGGTTGGATCAGAATTTATTCAACCAAATAAAAAAAAATCTCTCTTTTTAACACATCATTTGTATGTAAATTATTGCGTAACTTCATTATGTACAAAGTAGCATTATTAAAAAAAAAAAAAAAGAGTCTAAAACTTCTAAATTGTGTGATCTCACATGTTGTGTCTAGATCTCAGTGGGGGTGAGAATAGCGTGGGGGTAGAAATTTTCTTATTACATTAGTTACGACTTGAAGTCTCAACGTAGATTTGAAGATTCTAAACATACAACATAATAAACAATTATCGATAAAAAAAATTATATGTATTTCACATCATCGAGACAATCATATTTCAACAAGTAATTCGATAGTCGTAACTTTTACACCAATAAAAACCATTACATTATAATATTAAAAAAAAATTAATATGATCTCTTTCTTGTGACAATTTCGATTATTTGAATGCCATGTGACTCATGTTATTAATGTTTCTCTTTAATGCTAATTGGTTTGGCTGAGTGTCGGCAGCCGCATGGTCCACGTGGCCTATACAAAGTGTGGATGCGAGCCACTGAAATAGATCGGTCGCCAATAATATAGCGACAGGTAAACGAGCAAAGGTTACTTTTGTCTTTTCGACCATATCCTCTCTTTTGTCTTTGGCGTAATTATATTCAAGGCATTTTATTTTGAATTAATCTATTTGTACCAAGTTTGTTGACAAAGATAGTTGACAAGATTAGGTGTACGGTTTGGATGAATTTTAATTGATGGATGAGATTGAATTGTCCATTATCTTATTATTTATTTCTTTATATGTTTTAGT